ACACTTTGATTACTATTTAACTGCAACAATAAGTACTTTACTAAAATTCTTACAATAGTCAGACCTGCTGAGCTGGGTGCTAAGGGTTTAGGACCTTGACAGCTTTATGATACAAATTAAGAAAAAAAACAAAACTGTATTATTTGAATGACAGACACAAAGTCTGTCAGATGTGTTACAAGCATAACAATAATCTTGAGATTTTTAATTTTTTCCCATTTTGATGGTTAGATAGATTTCCACTTTGTGAAACCCACTTACCTCTTATCTTTACACAGCGACACAATCATCATTAATCATTGTGGAGATAAAATACAGAGAAAGGTATTTCTAAATATCTTATCTAAAGTCAGTCCAGGGTAATGCTATGCTGTAAAGTAACTCTGACTACCCAAGATTTCAGGTCACTTTTTTCATGGGGTAAGCTGCTTGAACACAAGTATATTGGGAAAACTAACACATACCATGTTCCTACATGCACTAATTCCAGCCATAGAAAACAACACAGGTAATTTATCAAGTTGTAATGGAAATACCAAACAAAAGTCAATTGGAGAGAAATAACTCAGAAGTTATCTAAGATGTCATAAGCCAGGCGGATTAAAAAAAGCCCCATTGCAGTACTGAAAGAAGTTTGCTTTTGATTACTCCAATAACCTTGGCTGGTTATATAATAACAGCATTACTACTCCTTCCACTATTTAAGCATATTATCCAGATTTTCCCTCTCTGTCAGTAGGAGATATCCACAAGGAAGTTAAATCTGAGTGTGTAATACAAGTGCATTTAACATACTTACTGACCCAAATCAGTGTACCACAGTACACTGAGAGCTGAGCATAACCTGTCACACACACACCACCTGAAATGCAGCTGCATCAAACAGGACCCAGAAGACACACAGACCTCACAAAGCCTGAAGTTACCAGGCTGAGAATAACTGTGACAGCCAACTAAAGAAGGAAGATGGAAACTGGGAGGCGACAACTGGACTTGGTTGTAACTCAATGCAGTTAGCATTCCCAAAATTTGCATTAGCTTCCTGATCAGCTTTATCTCCCTCCAACCTGTACAGTCTAGTTATCTATAAAAATTCCATAAAACACTACTTTAAAAAACCAAAACAGCACTATATAAATGGATATAGAACTTTAACTGAGAATAGGATCTGCCTGACAGCTTGAAGCAGTCACAAATGAAGGGCTGAAAACTCCAGCAGTCTATCAGAGTAGGTGCAAAAACCAAATTTCATGAGGAGAGGTCAAGACAACCAAAACAGAGAAGAGCCAAACAAGCTACTCGACATTACTGACACTGGGACCTTCTGGCAGAGGTGAAACACACAAAAACGAAATAAGATTTTTTTTTTCTAACCACCTAAATGGTCCAGAATTAAACAGAATGAAAAGCCTTGCTTTGAAAATTCTGTAGCCTTAAAATGCCCTTGTAAGTGAATGACAGATACAAATAAGATTTTAAAAGCATTTCCCCTGTCAGTTTTGCTCCACATACATTAAAAGACTGATAACCAAGAAAGTTATAATTGTACTTTATTTATTCATGAGATTAAAAAAAGCCTTACTACATAAATCTTCATACAATATCATCATGCAGGATATAAAGTTTCATTTACATTAAATATGTATATGCTTGTTCAATTAGCATGTCTAGAAATAATTACCTAGTATTAAAAAAATCATTCCTGATGCCCTTCCACTGCTACTGATATGCCAACCACCAAAGCAAATGGAGGTATGTGACACTATACAACAGTGTCTTATAAACACCAAAGTCTTCAGATCCTTCACTTTCCTTTCACATGTGCATTTCAACTGATGTACCCTTTATTTCTGCAATCCTGCAATTCAGAAGTAAGATGTTTTTCTTCACTGCAATTAAATGAACTTTGTTCCAAAGGGATTTGACTTTTGCTTTTTAAGGACAGAGACGAAGTCTGACAATGTTACAATATTTCAAATACCAGAACAGTAACCTTGAGAGGATGTAGCATATTAAACTGCCCTTGCAATACTTGCAAACGATAACATCACATGAAAAGCAGCACATGAATTAACGTAGGGAATAAACAACTTTGAAATGTCCATATGAGAGAAAATAGTATAGTACAAAAAGAAGAGTATAAGTGCAGATTGTTTAAATCATTTTGGCCTATAAGAAATCACTTGGAAAAGCATTGAGATCAAGAAGAGAAACCCACACAGTAGTTTTAAAGTAATACACACATTAATTCCTTTCACACAAACTTGTTTTTGTGATACACAGGCACAACACGTTATTTTTTCTAAAACTTGCATTAGGGGTAACCATGTTTTCTGTAAGGAAAAAAACCAAAAACATTTTTGCTCTGAAGATCAAAATATCCAGTATTTTTATCTTTCAGCACATACATTAAGCAAGTCTCACTGGGCAGCAGAAAGAAAGATGGGAGATTCAATACTGAGCAGTTTGTCCTTCAAATGCTGTTTAGTCATTACCTTTACTACAGACAGCAATAACGCCTGTGTTTAGGTCACCTAACACTCTTCCTGATTAAAACATTCCTACAGTGTCTTCTCAGGCTGCAGCCTCTCTGTTGTTTGCCTCATGCCTTTAATTTTTGGCAATGGGATATACTTGAGCTCGGCAAATATTATTCACATGTGCCACAGAATTTTGCTCTTTGTTCGCAGAATTATAAACAATTGAACAATATTCTCTTCCTCAGTAGTCTAGAGATGCAAATACCTTCCCTTATTGCAGGCTTGCTTGTTACAGCTTGTCTGGGCACACACTCTGAAGCGCTGGACACACCAAACGTCCTTCCTCTCTTTTCACTGCCATCCTAGCAATTCCCTCAGCACTGGAGAATCCTCCAGATCAAAACTCAGATGCTGCCAGAGGTTTACAAGTTTAGGAAGGGGAACAGTGGCTGCAGTCACTGATGGTTGCTGGGGCAGCACCCTTTTGGGGGGCAGCGCCCTTTTGGGGGGCAGCGCCCTTTTGGGGGGCAGCGCCCTTTTGGGGGGCAGCGCCCTTTTGGGGGGCAGCGCCCTTTTGGGGGGCAGCACTTTATTTTGGAACACAGAGGGAAGATTCTTCCTACTCCTGTGAACAAGGTGAGGACTCCAGGACATACAAACACATGAATTAAAAGAACATAATTTCCACTTCCATATTAATGATTCATGCTAGTAGCTGTTGTGCTTCCTACAAAATTAGTAAGTTAAGTCCCACAAAAAAAAAAAGTCTCATTCTCTGCTGCACAGATCCAAATCCCATCCATACTGCTGCCTGTAAAACACACCACACACACAGTCCTTCACACCACATCATACATGACCTCCTAGCAGACAATTCAAATAAAATAAAAAATTTGGCTAAGACCACTCTACACTGCCTTGTTTGGGCATTAGTGTTCAAAGGCCAATGCTTGACCACAAGTGATTAGATCAGCTTGTGCCTGTCCATGGTCTACAACATGACCCATTTGATATCATCTTTAATTATACCACATGCTGCCTTTTCTATGGATCCCCAACCTCATATAGGGTGAAAAACAGATGACGTACTGGTCTAAATAACAAGTGAATGTTCTTTGCAACATTTGCCTCTGAAATTAGAAAGAATAAACTAGAAAAACACAAAAATAAAAATGTCTAGGAAGAGTGCAAGTCAATATTGGGCAGAATTCCTTATGCTATAGAGAAGAGGTGGAAAAGAAAAAGTCACAAATATGAATTTCGAATATTGTTTTTCTCCCTTCTCTTCCATGTGAAACATGAAAAAATGGAGACCTGAGAGCTAGAAGAGATTGAGTGCTCAACTGCCACAGCAGAAGCGGTGAGTGCTGAGTACAAGGAAAAGGGCGAAGAACAGCAAACACAGGCGTTCCCGTCTCCCTCCTTGGCTCCTTGCATTGTGTTACCTCAGAGAAGTCAAAGTCTCAGATTCATCTTCCCGCTCCATAACTTTGGGATAATAATATAATAAAATTTCCTTATCTCCCAAAGAATTGTAAAGCTATTTTTAGTCACTACAATGGCTTAGGACGAGAGGGAAATTAATTCCCTCTGATGCCCCAGGTTTAGACGGCTTACCATCCACAAAGCAGAGGCTCCATATCAGATATTTAAGGTAAAAATATAATGAGCAGCTACGTAAAACCTAATCACCACTCATCTCATACCTCATGCCCAGGAGAGGTCACGTGAAAAAACAGCGGCCGGACCCACCCCAACACCTACACGTGGAGCCAAGAGCCAAGGTCACGACCACCAGCCCCGGCCGCAACATCTCCTGGTGCCGACGGACTTGATCCCGTGCCAGGAGTTACCTACTCCATACGCAGCAGCAGCCTCCACCACACCTCACACACCCTTTTTGCCCTCGGAAATTAAAAGTTACGTTCGCCGAGCAACGAGGAGGGACCTTCACTGGGAGCCGTGCCTCTACAAGGGCTCCGAGCGAGGCGTTCACGCTCGATACCAGCTCAACCAGTTTGCTGCCCGGGCTGGGCAGCACCCGCACGGGCAGGCCCAGGCACCGCTCGAAAAGAGGTTCATAAATCGCTGCCTCCCTGCTCTGCACTTCGGGGCACAGCCGAGCTGCCGCCCGCCCTCCCCGGCAGCACCGCCGGCGGTGGGGGAAACCGCGGCGGCACAAAAGCCACCTCACGGCAAACACCTCCCGCACCACAAAGGGGAAGGAAAAGGTTCGCCGGGAGCCCCGGGCGAGCCCTGCTCGGTGTCCCCTCCGGAGCAGCCACCCGGCAGCCCCGCGGCTCCCGCTGGGCATAGCCCGCCCCATCCCTGCGAGATGGCGGCCGGACCCTCGGCACCTGCCGGGCTCGCCGGGCAGCGACCCCCGCCCGCCGCCCGCGGGGCTCCGGCAGCGCCGGGGAGGGAAGGGACGGGACGGCGCCGGGGGAAGCCGCGGGATGCGGGCGGGCGGGCGAGCCACCGTCCTCCAGCAGCTCGCGGTGCCGCGGACCCATCCCTTACCTGTGGCCCGCGGGTGGCTGCGCGCAGCCCCGGGCTCCGCCATCTTCCCGCCGGTGCCGCCGCCGTGTCCCGCCGGAGCTCCGCTCGGCTCCGCGGCGCCCCGCGGCCGCCGCACAGGCGCAGTGCCCGCCCCCGGCACCTGACACGGCGGGGAGGAGCGGGGCCGGGGCCGCCTGCGCGGCCGGGGGCGGCTCCGGGGCCGCCAGGTGCTGCTGCCGCCCCGCCCCGCGGATCCGCGGGTGCTGCTCCGGCCGCGCGGCCGAGCCCGGGACGTGGTGACCGGGGACGTCCCATCGGATTATCCCGAGAGCCAAGCAGCGCGTGCCCTCCGGCTTCCCGAGGGGGTCCCGCCGTTTGCCCGGATTTTTCCATCCAGGTGGTTTCGTCCGCTGTTTGCAGCCACATGCGGCCTCGGAGGAATCGGTGGCACCTTGTGCTTCTCATCCAACTGCGCCCCACGGGCGGCCCTGCGGGCCGGGCTGGCCCTGCAGGGGCAGGACCGCTTTGTACTCCGTATTAGAAGAGGAGAAATAAAGAAACATCATCTTTGTTTCTCCCCATCGCTTACATTATGGTGGTGGTCGAACGGCCCTTTAACACACACCTTACATATTTATTTTGCTCCCACCTTGCTGTTCTTGCTGCTTCTGGACCATGTTGGGACTCAGCAGAGAGACAGGAACACACACGGCCCCGGGGCGTGTGGCCTTGGGGCAGCTCCCGCCACGTTGCCCTGAAAACAATAGGAGTGGTGGTAGATGCCAAACACCTCTTTGACTCATCTTCATTGCCAGTTTACCAAAATTTACTGAAAGACACATTTAATCCTCCCACTTTCCATCTCTATTCCTTTTGTTCTTTTTGCCAAGCAATTATATTTTTTACCTGAAAATACAGACCACAGTCAATATAAGGGGATGGATGAGGAAACTATTTGTGACTGGTTTTTTTGGAAAGCATTTGCTTTGGTGTTCCTCATGTGTCTCCCAGTAAATCACTATTTCTTATTAACTATAGATTACTCTATTGGGGCGCTGAGCAACATTTCATCTTCCGTCTATACATTCAAGTGATATCCTTGTGTTTGAGTTCGTACACTTCAATAAAAGTTTGATTACATAGATTTAGATTTTCTGGTGTGTATAGTAACAGGTATTCCTAATGTTGCCTTATCAATGAAATAATTAATTTTGATTGTTTATACCTCTGCCAAATTGATGTTTTCATGCCAGCTCTTTCTTAGGCTAACCTTCCATCAAGGAGTTCTACTCTGTAAAGATTAAATTATACAGTTTTGCTCATGTTACAGAAGAAAAACTCTACCTGTCTTACCATAGCTGTGCCTCCTGATTTCCAGGGGCACCTTTGGCATCAAGACCAAAAGAAGAAAGACTCTCCTGTAATCCTAATTAATCTTTAGCCTATTGCTGTCTGACAAAGACACAGGAAAGAACAGCTGGTCTCAGTGGAAGTTACATGGGCTTAGTGATGAGAGGAAGGAAACAGAGAGGATGAATTTCCAAGACTGGGAATTAGGAAAGGAGGGAACGGATGTGAGGGATATGACGGGGCAGGAAAAAATGGGAGTATAGCCAGAAGCTGAAGAAAGGGGTATGAGGGTATCTGCAGGGAGGGTGCTCAGGCAGTAGCCAGTGGCTGGGTGGAGAGGGATGGATGGGACTGCTGGAGAATCTGCCCTGCTGAACTAGTGCTGGCTCTGAAGTGGTCATGGAGCCCGTAAGCATAGCATGTCACATGGAGAAATAAGTATTCTCCTACAGATGTAATTTCCTCTGATAGCTGGTTCACAGCATTCAGACTGGGAGACATGCAGTGAAAAAAAAAGAGATTTTAAAAAAAACTTAAGGAAACTATACAGAAAACATTAAATCTATGAAGACAAAAACCTCCCCTATAGTATTTTATGTAGTATGTGATATGAGTTAGTTTTTAAATTACCTTTGCAGAATGTTTTTTTCCACACGACTCCTGCCTCATTCAGTGCAAAGGATGTGTTTAATTAATGTATAGTTCTTCAACGCTTCTCTTCATTTTCATCATGTAAAGTGAAATCTTTCATGTCATATTCACTGTACATTCTTCAAACCCTGCCTTGAAGGCAGATTAATTAATTTCCATGATGACATTCCTGCGGTACTCTCATAACTCCTTCAAATGTTAGTAAATTTAACTTTGTAACAGCCTTCTAAGTTGAAGTAGTGCTATTATCATATTTCACATACAGGGAAGAACTAACAGCAGGTAATGTGTGTGGAGTTGTCTGTAGTTGTTTGTTAACTCTTTTGTGTTGTGGAGGCTGGCAGGTTGTTTTCAAGCAGGGAGTAGTGGATTTAATACAGTGTGCATCCACCAGCACCTGTGAAACAAGACCATAATCATTTGTGCTCAGGTTTGATTTTAAATAATTTATGGATATTTAAGCACTGGAGGTAGTGTGTTACTTACAATCTACAGAGCTTTGCACTTACACCTGGGAGTCAGGAACTAGTTCCAGAAATATTTGTGTATCCTGCCTTACGACAGATAGAGGAACTCCAGGAAATTTTTTAATATTCAGCCTCTAAAAAGGAAGTTATAAACAGTTTAATTTTGCCCATACTTCACAGAACAAGATTATTTTCCTGACTAGAGCAGCTAAAGGGCTTTTCCAGCTGTGGTGGGACTGTAACCAGTGTCTGCATGCTCAGAATTGGAGATGTCACATGTTCCTCCCTAACTCTCCATACTCCACCTTTCTTCATTATCCATTCCTACGAATGGAAGGAAACCATCCTAGAGGTGGCACATCACCAGGAGCAATGTGAGGGTCCACTTTTGAGTGATAGGGGAAGGATTATACAACCTGACAGTCCTACAGCCTTTAGGAGCTGAGGGATGGGATCAGAAAGTTTCTCCTCTCCTCCAGAGCCAGGAGCATGAATTATCACAGCACTGCCTGTGAGGGCAAGGAGACAGCAGAGAAGCTATGTGTTTGCTGGGCATTGGCCAGCCTCTTATCACAGCTCTCTGACATGAATTATAAAGCAGTGCAGGAATTTTCCCAAGCACAACTTAGTCTCTTTAAGGCACATCCTATTGAGCACTTGGATTGGGAAAGTGTTTATTGCAGACACTTTGGTTATTCTGCTTTCTTCATCTGATGCCCAGTTTGTCCTTCTGTGTCCTTTGGTAATATTTGTTCCACACTGTTGTGTTTTAAAGCATGTTTCTTTTATGGCGTGTTGTGCACTGTTAAAATCAATACCACTTTGGGTTTCTTTTGTGGAAAACATTTTTCCCCTCTTACCATACATTTTTAGTAGGTGCTGTATTTAAAGAGGTCTGTGCAAATATTCATACATGTGCTACAGCAGGTGTTGGTCGAACTACATCTGTGAAAATCTCAGAGGTAAATTTGCAGAGAAGTAAAGTCTTAGAGTCAGCTCAGGATGCAGACAGAAAGAAGATGGAGATACTGCTAATTTTGCCAACTTAACAGACACTCAAATCAAAATTATCAAAAGTATATACTAATTTTGAAAATCTTGCCTTCTTTTCTCAGTGTTTTTAGATGGTTGTATCTATGTAACCAAAGCCATCTCTCCCAGGAATGTTTCTGAGGGAAAACAGATTAGTGAGTCCTGAGCAAACTGGCAAAATTTACAATGTTAAAAATCTGTGTTGGTCCACACTTTTTGCTCTATTTTGCTATTTTGAATCAATAACAGACAAGTTGAGAACCCCCAAAAAGTAAGGCAAGCAGAATGGCCACCTGTGGTATTTCAGTTGGAGTGATTGGCCCAGGGTCACACAAACGCTGCACGTCAGAGATGGTAAATCCTCTTCTCCTAGGCAGTGTTTACCTGCTTTAACTTCCAAATAATCCTTCCTTTTCTGAAACTCCTGGAAGTACCCTGCCTCATAACTTCTGGATGAAATTAAATGCTTGCACCAAGGTATTTTTACAAGCAATCCAAGTTCATCTGAAGAGAAGTACTCCTCTTCATCAGGTAAGTTTGCACCCTCCGAGAAAAACAGAACATAACTCAGAAGTTAAAAAGAGTGTTTTAACATGTATGAGAAACCTAAGAAAGGTGGTGGGTATAACTAATTACAGTTTTCAAGTCCAAGTTGGATGGAACTTTGAGTGGTTTTGACTAGTGAAAGGTGTCCCTGCTCATCACAGAGCAGTCAGACTAGAAGACCTCTGAAAGGTGCTTTCAAACTCAAACTATTCTATGATTCTGTGAAATGACAGAAATGCTGATGGACTAATTGACTGATAAGAAATCTTCCTCAAGAGGGATCAATCTTACACAAAAAAAATCATGAGTCAATAAACTGAGGAAAATCTTTTTTTCCAGTCACTTGAAGTCTTTCTATAAAATTTGCTGGTGATGTCAGTCTTGAAGGGAGATATCAACAGCAAAATGGTGCGCTATTTCAAAACCACAGTTGGAACTCATGGTTGTATTTCTGAAAGACTTCTACCTTTTAGTCATGAATGTTTGTATAAAAAATAGTTGCATTTTCCTGGTGAAATGGCTTCAGTTTCTCTCTCACTGTCTAAGAAGCCACAGATATTCACAAGCATTAAACTTGTCTTTTTAAATTCCCTTGATTGTTGATACCTTAAGCCCTTAATGGTTTTTTTATTTTTCTAATATTTTTAAGACTTGTAAGTTTTATAAGTAGTGGAAGTAGATTTTAAAAGCAGCAACCCCCCCCCTGCTTTGTCCCTTGTCCCTTTCCCTTTCTCTAGCACCCTTGTTTATACATTCCTTAACCCTCTTACCCCATTCTATGCTCCCTATATCAATCCTACTCCTGAATACAGCAGAGATGTTTAGTCTTTTGTCAAGGCAAGGCCTAGATTGTTGGCAGAACAGCATATCAGGGCCTAAACCACAGAATACGGTCAAAAATTAGGTAACTATGTACCCTTTGTGCTCTGATGAAGACAAAGATGGGATGAACAGGGGGTCCTGAAATACACCCCAGACCCATTTTCAGGGGGCGGACCAGGGGCGGAGCAGAGTAAAGGCCACAGGGTGGGCACATCTGGGATTGGATGGAGGGTATTATAAAATGTAACCTCTCAGGCACGGCCTGGGCGTGTGTCTTGTAACATCTTAGCCTTGGCAAAATAAACCCTTTCTTATCTCACCCCTAATTAACTGCTCTGGAGAGTTTTTCAGCATCAAAATTTCACGGCAACATTGTAGAGGAGGAAAAATGTGCAGCTCAGTCTGGTAAAGCTTGAACTACATACATCTGCTTTATTTTTGTTTATTTACATATCTAAGAAGTGTCATTCAGTGAGTAATATCAGCCAAATGTTAAAATAATTTTTAGGATGAATCATAATTAATTGCTTTTGTATTTGTTATTTGACATGTGAAAACTGTATTAGTTCTCCTCCATGTGAAAACATATGTTAAGAAAA